TGCCACGCCCACTCTAACGCCCATAACGCTTAAATCTGTCTACCGCCCACATAACTATATGATGAGATCGGGTAGGTGGCGCATTACAATCTCGCTTTGGGTATCTGATAGTCGAGGTACTCGACTATAGCGTTCTGCCCTGATTTAATTTAAAATGTTGTTTTAAAATTTGTCTCCAAATTATAAGGTATTTTTAAAAAGTTTATTTCGCCTATTATTTGAAAAAAACAAGGGTGCACGATATATACGATGGCCTTGGGGGCCCAAATCTCCTAGAGTGCTTACGTTATCGTAGTTTTTTTACCCGTTACTGGTAGAGTTAAAGGGTGTACTAGATTCGTCGGAAAGTATACATCCGTTTGGATGCTGATATCTCGGAAACATTTCGATTGATTTATCCCTCGTTATGATCGGACCATCAGTGCAGATTTTCAATTCTAGGGTTATATATAGGAGTCGCCTTCGTACCCTCTCCTGAAGCGCTTCGTCATTACTTGGACTTCCGTCCACAGTAAATTTAATCTGATTGTCAATAGCTAATAAGTAATGACTTTACGCCCGTATCTAGAAAGAACATCGTCAATAACGCCACAGCCAGTAAATAAAAGTAAAAATCTAAAGTAGATAAAATGTTTTTGTTTTTCCTTAGAAATCAAGAAAATCTATAAATATAAAAATTATAAATTCTATGATCAATTCACTAAAATCGACTCTTTTGCTTTAATTTATGGTAAATTATACGCTACTCGAAGAGTAAAAAGGTATCTAGATTTGACGAAGAGTTTGTAACAGGTAGAAGGAAGCGTTTCCGACCCTATAAAGTGTTTATTTTCTTGTTTAGAATCACTAGCCGAGTCGATCTAGCCATGTCGGTCTGTCCGTCTGTCCGGATGAACGCTGAGATCTCGGAAACTATTAAAGCTAGGCCATTGGGATTCGGCATGGAGATTCCTGAGCTTCTTGCGCAGCGCAAGTTCGTTTCAGCAGGGTGCCACGCCCACTCTAACGCCTCCAAACGACCATAACACTAAAACCGGATTAGCACCCGCATTTTAAAATATTTTTTAAAAATTTAAGTGAGAACTTGCTTTGATTATCAATGTGCAACTACATGCCAAAAATTATTTTAATTTGGGCCATTCACTAAACAGGTATCTTTTCTTGGCAACAGACGCTTTCATACGTGTATATCTTTATCTCCCTCGTAATCCCTGAGCACTCCCAATACACTTAGCTGAGTAACAAGTATCAGGAAGTCGATGGCATCGACCACAGCATTCTCTCTCTACTGCTCGCCTGTGTCAAAAAGCTGGCCAAAAGCCAAAAGCTGGAATTTTTTACATCTCATAAATCGTACCCGTTTTAGAATTTTTAAAAACTTTTTTAGTTATGATGTTATTTGTTTTTGCCGTATACTTTCTGTTGAAAAAAATCAAATCAATTTTATTTCTTCATATTTCTAACTTTCTGGCTCACTGTGCTGCGCAGAGACTGGAAAACAAATGGAAATAAATTTTCATCATTCAATCCCCAATTTTCTAAATTTTTACTTTCACCGCTTTTTGTTACATACTTTTTTATATTTATACCCTTGCAGAGGATATGACTTCAGTCAGATGTTTGCAACGCAGTAAAGGAGACTTTTCCGACCCCAAAAAATATATATGTTCTTGATCAGCATCATTAGTCGAGTCGATCAAGCCGTATCCGTCTGTCCGTTTCTACGCAAACTAGTCTCTCAGTTTTAAAGCTATCGGGCTGAAACTTTCCCAAAAGTCTTATATCGGACAACTATATTAAAAAAATTATATCTTTGGTGTTTTTTAACTTATAACCTCCTAAGCTTGGATATTACATTTTTAAATTAGTTTTGAATTTCGAATTAAGTTTTTATCAAAATCGGACGACTATATCATATAGCTGCCATAGTAACAATTGGAAAACTGGTGGGAAAATAACATGAAACAAATTATAGCTTCGGTGTTTCTTGACATATTATCTTATACTATTGGGAATATAATTTTTTGTATTTTTAAATTTGTAATTATAACTGCAAGTGTATACAAGCTTCGGCTTGCCAAAGTTAGCTTTCTTTCTTGTTTGACATATTATCTCATACTATTGGGAATATCATTTTTTGTATTTTTAGGAATTTCGAATTAAATTTAATAAAAATCGGACGACTCTAACATATAGCCGTTAAAGAATCGGCCAGAGAAATAATGATATAATTATTTTTAAAAAAATTTTGCTTTGTTGATTTTGATCGTATTTTCTTTTACTTTTGGGTATAGAACATTTTAACTTTTCAGCATTACGAATTTAATTTTACACAAATATCACTGAAGCTAGCAACAATCCTTAAAAATTTAACATGGTGTTACTATCATTGATTATTTTGTATAACTGAAAGGGCTTGCCGAAGTTAATTTTCTTTCTTGTTTTATTAAAAGAATAACATTTACAAGTTTGTCATCGACCAAAACTTTTTGTAATTTTTAAAAGTTCGAAAAATTAGTTAGGTTCATTTTCCGATGTCTAAGTACATATACTTTATTTAAGCTCCTAGGAAAATGTTTCTAAAACTAAGTACCAACACAAATACATATATTGATTTTAATGCTTTTAGATTAGCTCATATATAAGTAATTTAGAAAAGCAAAATTAAACATGACTCCTAGTTTATAATTGATTTTCAAAACAAAAACTTCTGATATTATTTAAAACACCTCTTAAGGAAATAAGGGGTCGTGACGATCGCACCTTCAACTTACAAAAGTTCTGATATTAATTCTGTGACGAACGTTTTAAACTGTAAATTGGACTAAATAAATACACTTTCTAAAAATGTTGTTATTCGCCACGCTACAATAGAATATGCCGTTGTATGCTTAAAAGCTTAAATATTTTGATGAAGCGGGCAGAACAATTTTTGGCTTGTAGTTAGGTATTGATAAACAAAAAGAGACAAACAATCAGATTTACCATTATAGGGATTTCAGGACAGACAAAGAGACGGTCAGATGGACATGGCTAGATCGACTCGGCTAGTCATGTGTATGTGTACTTTATAATGTCGAAAACGCTTCCTGTTACATACATTTCGATGAATGTAATTTGCACTCTTACTGTAAGAGTAACAGGTATAGAAACAAGAAATTAACTATTTTTAAGATCACATAATGATTTTAAACAGATAAAACACCATATCCACAACATTACACTCTTCGATATCTGAGATATAATATATAAAAAAAAAACGAATGCATCTATTGGCAGAAAACGCAATATAACATTATTTGCTTATCGGACCGGAAGTTCTCGACAAACCCAAGTTTTAATACGCTTGTACAGTTAACAAATAACCAAAGTCACAGCCACCAGATATCAAAGGATTTCTCATCGATTAGGGTGTAGATGCATGAAATATTCGATATAAATAATATGGGAGATGTAGCATTACTGTTCCTATATATGAGATTTTTTTTAACACTATTGGGAAAGTATCAAATCAATAACTTTCGAAAAGAGTAAGCAAAAATAAAACGGGAATGGCAGTTGCTGATCATGAGGAAGTATTACATATATATCGGCAAAATCTGTATTGCGTTACAAACTTCTGACCAAAAATGTATACACCAGCAAAACGTTTACAAAGGTCATTGTGCCCTCTCTTTAAATAAACAATTTTTCTTGTGCACGTTATTTTAGTCGTAGTTCCATAAAGTCTTTCGGTTCCGAAAAGATTTGTTCTCTTATTGACATATTTCCGTACGATTAAAATATAGATTTTACTTTACGACTAGCTGGTTTATATATATTTTTCAATGAAAGATATATTTATTGGCTTCTAAAAGATGGCTTGTACCGAGCTTTTAAAGCTTTTATAAGCTTTCATCAATGAAAACAAAAAAGTCCCAGCCAAATTACAAAATAGCAATTTGCTGGTTAAACTTTTAACTCAACAGGTTTGATATAAGTAAGAATCAAAACCGATCAAGGAAATTCATATTCGCACGTATTCAAACCTAAAATAGGGTTGATAGCTTTAAAATTTAAGTTAAGTGAATGTTTTCACACTTTAAAAAATAAAATTTTTAAGTCACACAGTCAAGTAAAAATGTTATTTGTTCTTAAGAGTTATAAACTAATTTTAAGCCATTATAATATCGTGTTTGTACCTACATATTTACTCTTGTAAATGCTAGTCGTATATAAGCCCACCTTTGAAGTTAGTATTAGCTTCGTATGTCGTACACACCCTAATAACTTGACTGTAACCATATTTTGAACAAAATTTAAACAATGGTGGAATTCCCTTAGGCGATTTGGATTTAGCTACGATTAATTTTAATTAAAACAACATTTTTTGTGTCATTCAAATGGAAGTGCTCTTTCAACACACTTTATAAAAAAGGAACTCCACTGCCATCAGGCATAAGAAAAATAAATGAACTTTCACAAAAAAAAAATGTAAAATATTTAGATTGGTGATTCGTAATAAAAATAAACTTTAATTTGTCATCCTAACAGTATCTAAGTACAAATAAATTATATTGACATACGGTGAATGAAAAACATACATTTTAAAGATAAGTTATCAGTAAAAATTGTAAACAATAAATTAGTGTAATTTGTGTAGCATTTTGCGATTGTTTAGTTTTGACAAGTCCTTGCCCACGTTGCTACAGAAAAAAATAAAACACCCATCATTATGCGACAGGTGCATAAATAGCAAATAAAAAAGTTCCTCTTACACAACAATTTTAAAAACATGTAAGGTCTAATTGACGCTCTGGAAACCCTGCAAGTTGAAACGCGCCTCAAAGGTCGTCATATATCACTTAATATCAATCTTTATAAATATTGTCAAACTTGCTGGAGATATTCTTCTTTTTTAATATTTTTGAGTCTCCAGGAAAAATCCCAAAATCATGTTGTATCATTACATGGTAAAAGCTAGGAGCCCGCTGAGATAAGGAGTTCAAGTCCAATTTTTCTTTAAGCTTATATAATTGGTTGTGTACTATTTACAGTAAAATATTTTTTTACAATATGATCAACTACAATCTGCAAATACATACTTTAAATAGTTTGAGTAAATTTGTATTAATTTTCAGAAAACTACAGGTATATGCTCGAAATTCAAATGCCAAACCTTTATAAATAGGGTTGTGCAAATAAACACAAATTTCTAAGCATAAACAAAAAATTAATTTCAAACATTAAAATATTTGATTTAATTTAATTTCTAATTATACTGCTTTGAACTTCAATATTTCTTAAAAAATTAATTGTGCACAACGGCTGAGGAATGTTGAATGCTACGTTCAAATTCTTCTAAACTAAGCGCTTGGTTCATATTTAAAAGAGGCAGTTTTCCAGCTGAAGCTTTTGCAAGAAGCTCAGGAGAAAACCATTGCGCCAACTGATTATTGGTTGGTGATGGCATCCGATCATCCCTGTGGTAGCTGGGGGATGCGATGCTATTAGTTTTAATCACATTTCCTGAATCGGAGCTGTCAGGAATACCTAGAAATTAAATACAATATTTGGTGATCTAAACATGTTAATATAGCAAATTTCTCACCTGGTACTGGAGATGACATTTGTAGATTCGATTGACGGTGCATCTCTCCATAAATCACCCTATGCCTAGGTTGCTGCCGGGACTGATGCTGCTGCTGCTGCTGCTGCTGCTGCTGCTGCTGATGTTGCAAGAAAAGCTGATGCCATCCAACAGGAGACGAGATGTTTTGATGCACATTTTCGGTGTTTAAAACTGATTCCACAGATTGGACAGATTTAAATCTGTGTTGGGTTTGTTGTTGCTGTTGGTGCAGCTGCTGATGATGTGAGTGAACTGGCTGCATTTCGATTTTGTGTGTAGTAAAATTTAATGCGGCATTTGGTTGTGGCATTGAATTAAGGCCTCCTTTCAGTATAGGGCGACCTAAAATAAATAAATAAGAAGTGAATTGTGAGCATGTGCGTCAGTCAGTTACAATGATGTTCTGCTGAACGTAGCCATTGTTTTAACTTGGGGCTTACTTTAAATGTTAGTAAACCTCTTCACTTTCTAAATTTTGTGTAGTAATAGGCAAGTGTTGGTAAAGTGAGAACTCGTTAAATCGTCGTGACGTCAAAATTTCCAAATAACTGTAGTCGATTTCCCTTATTGTGCCGACAATGTATTTACAATAATATTATTAAGAATTTGTGTAACTTGTTCGTGAGATACTTGTGATTAAAAGGTGGGGCAAAAAAAAAAACAAGGAAGAACGCTATAGTCGAATACCACGACTATCAGATATCCGATCCTCACCTAAAGGAACAAAAAGGGAAATGGAGACATATGCAAGCAGCAAAGCGAGACTGAAATGTGCCACCTACCCCTGATCACAATGTATGGTTATGTGGGCGGTAGACCGATTTAGGCGTAATGGGCGTTAGAGTGGGCGTGGAAAACTTTTTTTTTGGGTCAATCGATAGGTATTTACGAGACTAATACATTTCAGTTAAAATTTGTTCTCTAGCATGAAAACTGTGGGCGCCACAGACTTGGGCGGTTTGTGGGCGTTAGAGTGGGCGTGGCACGCTGCTGAAACAAACTTGCGCTGCGTAAGAAGCTTAGGAATCTGCATGCCTAATCCCAGTAGCTCTCATAGTTTCCGAGATCTCAGCGTTCATCCGGACAGACAGACAGACGGAAAGACGGACATGGCTAGATCGACTCGGCTAGTGATCCTGATCAAGAATATATGGGGTCGGAAACCCTTCCTTCTGCCTGTTACATACTTTCCGACGAATGACGGGTATAAAGTCCTATTAAATTTAAATGTGTTTCAGAAGTGCCCCAGAAAAGATTTTTGAGCCTTAAAAAAGTGGCAACTTCATGTTTCCTACAGTACCTTGTAGGGTACCGTGTCACGCTTAACGATTTAACTCCGTTGAAATTTTACCATCGAACTTTTACTAAAATATTCTTTATTGATTTGAGAAACTTTTGAAAAATATAGAGTTTTCGAAAAGAGACACTCAAAAAACGAATCGTACCTCACTGTACCCTACACTTTTCTGCATATAGTTATAATGTTGTTAACGCTTCCGTCTACCTGTTATATACTTTTCGCCGAATACAATAAACATATTTACTCTACGAGTAACAGGTGATATCATGAATTACTTCTACTGCTACTACTATGAGCTCTGTTTTTTCGTTATAACTTCCTTTAAAATTATACAAAACGTCCACTCACCGAAACCACCAAACCAAAAACGATTAAATATCCTTCCACTTACCAAATGATTTTCCTTGCACAATCTGCATGTTACCAGGAGTCCATTTTAATCCCTGCTGATTTCGACACTGTTGCAAATTGGGAGACATTTGTTGGTTACTTGGGCCAATGGCAAAGTTTCCACCGCCCAATATCATTCGAGGCTGCACGGCCATAGTTGCCATAGTTGCCGTCGGCTGTGGCTCATGTACGTTCGTACTTAGTTGCTTGGCATGCTGCGGGTGCATTTGATATTGTGGCGGTTGGTTATGAGAAGAACTCGATGTTTGACTTGTTTCCTTATCGGCTGTCATTTTCCGCAGTACTGATGTAGGAGTAAATGCCAAAGGAGATGGCGAGTTACCATGGGCAATCAACTGATTAATCGCGTGGTTGGCAGTATTTTGCGAAATCAATTCTATAACAAAATAAGAAACCACGTTAGATCAGTTATATAATAAAAGCTATAATTCAAGAAACGTAATAATCGAAATCTTTATGTTCGTTGTACTATGCTGCGAAAGATTACACCGCTTACAAAATGAAACCGTCAAAAAAGTTAGGCTTCCTAAATAAATAAATGGAAGGCTAAGTCGTTCTATCTTAAGCATATTATCCGAGGAACTTCTTCTGTCCCACAGCTTGGAGGGGGGCAAAACAAGAAGAAGCTCAGACTACCCAAATTTCGTCCGCGCCTTATTAAGTAAGTTTTTATTGAGGCTGAAAGTAACTATTGTTTGTAAGTTTAATTTTTAAAAGACTTCTGGGATTTTTACATTGAATGCCAAAGATACATTTTATTTATTATAAATAAATCTTACAAATAACGATTACTTTCGGTCACTCGTTTTTATTCTCGTCTCGTTTTATTTTTAAAACTAATTTTTTTCTAATACTAGATGCAATCGCTCTGGTGGAGCCCTCGGAGCCTCCCGAAAGGCGCTGCAGAAGGCAATGCGGTGCGTTAAAAACTTGAGTTGTACCAAAAAAAAGGAAACGCCGGCACCAGATGCTGAGGAGGAGGTGCCAGCGACCCCTATAACACCGGAAACCCGCGAGCTCAAATTTTAAAACAAACTAATAAAAATAAAAATTACAACTGAAATTTAATTTGCTGCTAAGCGCTCAACGTGTGCTGATTGTGTGCTTTTTCCGCTGCTAAATCGAGCGCTCAACATGTGCTGGACGTGTGCTTTTTTTGCTGCTCAAAAAAGCGCTCAAAAGTGTGCTCAAAAATGCACTCAATGCGTGCTAGTTTTTGTGCACTGATGAACCCTAGGACAAGCCTATGTTAATTTAAGCACTCAATTCCATACAAATTGTGCGCTCATTGAGCGCTCAGTGATGAACATTTTGCAGTGATTGAGTGCTCAATAAGCGCTGAATGGTACTGCAGGGCGACTCCAGAATCTTTTCGTGGGGATATTGTTGCGTGAGTATTTCAAAATAGCTCAAGGGCAGTTTGTTATACCCTTGCAGAGGGTATAACGATTTCAGTCAGAAGTTTGCAACGTTTACGACGTTTACGTTTCCCATAAAGTATATATATTCTTGATCAGCATCACTAGACGAGTCGATCTAGCCATGTCCGTTTGTCAGTCCGATTCTACGCAAACTTTTCTCTCACTTTTGAAGCTAACGGGAGGAAACCTTCTCAATCGTCTTATTTCTGTTGCAGGAAGTATATAAGTCGGATCGAGCCGATTTGGACAACTATATATTCGAATTAATAAAAACCGGACTACAATATCATATAATTGCCATAGGAAGGGTCGAAATATTAATGTCAAAATAAGACACAGACCGTCATATTTCGTTTTTGGTAAAAAAAAAAAAACGGTAGTAAACATGGGACATTACCTTAATATTTCTGCAAATAGTTTTCAGTTTTCTAAAAATTTAAGGCCTGTGCACATACAATGCTCCCATGGAAACGACCTGCAAGGGTATAGAAACTTTGGCTTGCCGAAGTTAGCTTTCTTTCTTGTTTTTCTTTGGTTTGGCATTAAAACCTTGTTTTTAACATTTCTGCAAAAATGTTCAATGTGTTTTAGTTCTTAGGCCTGTATGGTACCCTTTACACCATTTAACTCAAGGGTTTTGAAACTATGGACGACTCTTTGTTTTAGTTTATAAATAAAATAAAAATAATAAGAAATGGAATAAATTAACTGTGTATTACGCATAAAAAAGCATCATAATTTCTGATCTATCGCAATGAACATATTGATCCTGTATGGGATTACTTTCCGTTCATCCAGTTGACTTTTTAACAGTTATGGGGTCATTGCTGCTTTCATACTGCGTGCTACCCTTTTGGGTTCTTGTTTTAGGTCACTACTAATAATTATTTTAAAGAATTCGACGATTCAACATAACTTATCTTTTGCATTGCCTTTATAAATTAGCTTTTTTAATATCCTTTTATTTTCTCATTACAGTGCGTTTCATGACTCATTGGGAACACTGTTTTATTTATTATTTTGCGAAATCACTTAGTATGAGCTAGGCTATTGAGATTTCGCGTGCAGATTCCTGAGCTTCTTACGCAGCGCAACTCTAACGCCCACAAACCGCCCACAACTGTGGCTCCTACAGTTTTGATGATAGAATACAAATTTTAACTGAAATGTAATGCTCTCATCAATACCTATCGATTGACTCAAAAAAAGTTTGCCACGCCAACTTTAACGCCCACAAACCGTCCAAACCTGTGACGCCCACAATTTTCATGCTAGATACAAAATTTGCACTCCCACTCTAACGCCCATAACGCGTAAATCTGTCTACCGCCGGTAGGTGGCGCTTTTTCATCTCGCTTTGCTGCTTGCATATCTCCATTTCCCTTTGGTCCCTGACTTAGCTGAGTAACGGATATCTGATAGTCAAGGTACTCGACTATAGCGTTCTTCCTTGTTTTTTATTTGCCGCAGCTGTATGTGGTCGGAAACGCTTCCTACTACTTGTTCAATACTTTCCGACGAGTCTAGTATACCTTTTAGTGTACGCGTAACGGGTATAAGGACGGAATATGTATAAATACGAAAACGGAAGCGAAGTCTAGGTTTTAGGAATTTTTGCAGATTATACGAGTTAAAACTTGAATAAATTAAATATAAACAGGAATGAAAGCAATAGTCGACTACCTTGACTATGATATATCCGTTACTCCCTTATAACCAACGTCAAAATAAATATTCTTTGATACATTTTTATGTTCTACTGTCCGAGACCTCGTCGTTTATACTGACGGACAGACAGGCGGACATGGCTATATCGACTCGGCTAGTGATTTCAATCAATATACACTGCGCTGCCTTCTGTCGTACGGCACGAATTCGCGTGCTGGAAAATGTAATATTAATTGTTTCAAGAACGGCTGAGAGTCGTATTTTGAGATAATAAGATAAAGTCTATTATAGTCAGAACATAATACTCTGAAACGTTCATGCAAGTCACAGTTAGTTATATCTACAACGATACAAAATTAGGGGAACGTAATTTCTTGTTAGTCTCCATGGAAACGAAAAGTTTAGCTGGCTACCCAAGTCGGGTCTATAAATTTCACCTCGAATAAGTTCATAAATAAAGACTGTTCCAACCATCGTTCTGGGGTTGGCTAGAGAGGGTAACTTAATTGGAAGTAATCTACTAGACTAAGAAGGTAAAATTAGGTTTGAATTCCAGATTAGGCGCCTTAAAGCAAGTAGAAAAAAATTATTCTGTACAGATTCGATACGATCATCATGAATTCCGTTTTGGGGACTCCAGACGGGAGACCATACTCAAGTATATACAGGGTCAAGTACCTTATAGGGTCGGTAACGCTTCCTTTCTGACAAATTCTTTACGTGTAAAGGTTATAAATATTAAATAGGCAAAATATGGCCAAACACCTTATAAAACCTTAAAATGTTAGGAAGTGTTTTCAAAGACGATGTTAAACGTCAGCATAACACATAAAATCAAGCTTAGACACAAATTTATTCAAAAAGAGGACTGAAAAATAATTTTTTTTAACTATGCAAAATAGTAAACATGATTTTTTGATTTGTAAGGGGTCACAGCTTAAGTGATGCTATTCAGTGGTAAATGAATATTTACCAAATGAAGGATAAAATTGTCTAGAATAAGATTAACCCACCACTTACCCGTTAAGGACTGGTTTAAAAACTCAAAAACAAATACAGCTATTTATACATCACAGCCAAGTTCTTCATGCAAATTCTACAGAAATCGGGGTTCATCAAGGATAATTTTTTTTTTTAATATCAACTTAATCCAAATCCAAAAATTACAATACGCAGAGATTTCTATGACGAAACATATTTTGGTTAAAATAGCTGAAAACACGCCAGAGGTTACGATATGAACTATTAAAGAAAGTTTTGAATTTCCTAACCCTAGCATTTTGTTTAGGACTGAATCAGATAAGCGTTTTTCCGTTGTTGGAGTTAAATTTAGTCTTTAACGGATTTAAATTTAAGTGATGGGTAAATCTTACTCACACCATTTTATCTTCCATTTGATACCTTGATCGTTCAAATGTACCTTTAAAATCCAGCACAACCTAACGTCAAAGTTCATCACTTAATCTGTGAGCCACAGTATGTATATCAAAGCAAAAGCGTTTCCATTAAATCAATGCGAATCCAGTAGACGATTCTAGTACAAACCTTCAGAATAATGTGGATGGACTGGTTGAGCTTGAAGACCCGATGAATGTGTAAAAATGTTGTGATCCCCCGTGGCCACTGAATTCCTTTTAGTATGTGAGTACTCACGGAGGACTGTTGCAATCACCTCCTTTGTGGAAGGCGGGGTGCTAGGATTACCCAACTCTTTTTCCAAGAAGTCCAGAGAAACGTCTCCACAAATTAGGCCTATTTATGTTAAAAACAAAGTTTTTCATTATCATCTTTCAACATAAATTTTTGGGTATTGTGTAGTTTAATATCATATATTCGGAAGATTTGTATATAAATATAGCGATAGTTTCTATTACAGCTATATGACCAAGGCGCCCGATTTTTACATAAAAAACAAGATAACATTTCTGATTACCAAACTCGGATCCGCTTTTATAGTCCTACAGGATGCAAAAGGATAAGCTGTGCTGAAGCGCACTATGCGTACCAATACAATTGTGGTTTTCCGTATCGCATCACATTTTTCTGACTTTGGTTCATAATTCATGGCGTTGTATACCATATTGGCTGGAAATTTTAAGGGACACTGAATATATTGACACGTTTCTAAGCTCAATAATTTTTTCCTTTCTCCCCTAAAGCAATGAGGTCCTTTACCCACTAAAATACATTTTTTTCCATAGCTATAGTGTATTATCGTTCAATTTATAATAATGGTTTTAATTAAACACAATTTTCACCAAATTACAAACATTTCCTGGAAGAAAATCAAAAAATTCTACTTCAGTGAACAGCCAAAATGTTGTGCCCGTGTGAAAAAATATAAAAACACCCCATATGATCCATTCTACAAAAAAAAAAGGACTTTGCTAATAAACCATTATATATATTCGCTTCTGTCGCACTGCTATTTTAATGAACCCAGCTGTATATCTGCATCTCCCTTTTGCTCCCTTTAGCTGAGAAGCGGGTATTTGTTAGTCGAGGCACTTGTAGTTTTGCTAAATCGACTCTGTCTCTATATCCCAAATGGTGTATTGCTAAATAAGTATCATAAAATAGTTTGGTAACTTAAATTAAACCAAAAATGGTTATACTTAAAAACAAAAAAGGAAACACCCCTATCTCTGCGAAAAATAATATCTAATTTGCAGGGTAAGGGTCATTTGTATAATAACATTAGGGATTGGCAGCATAAATCCGTTATTTTCGTTCGGACCCTTCTTTGGTTTCCTAAAGGACCTTTACCATGCAAAAATGCAAGACACATAATTCGATAAAAAGTTGTAAATGGACAGATCTAAAAAGCACAGATCAAAGTTTAGGATAGAAAGGACTTTGGCAAGGATATTCATCCACTAGTCTTCCAAAAGGCCCTGCAAGTACAAGTTTTTTTTACCACAAAATGTAATTAAACAGTGACGTCACTGACCATGTTCTTGCTAGATACGGGCATAAGGTCATAACTTATTATGTAATGGTTTTTGGAGTGCCGGTAGGTATTTACAAGATACATAAAATAACATTTTTTAAAGAAATCTTTGGAAATGTGGGCGCTAGAATGGGGGTGGCACACTGCTGTAAGATACATGTGGTGCGCAAAAATGTCTTAAATCCAGATAGTGATCTTGATCTAGAATATAAATACCTTATAGGATCCTTTTACTTGTTCAGTTAAAATTTATGATTTTATTCAACGAGTAACGCCAATAAATAGCTATAGTGAAATTTTTAAGCAGTACGGTGACTGAAGTACTATTTTCATGATCGCATCTGTATAATCCCTTAAAAAAATTTGATTTAAATGTATTGAATGTGGTACAACATAGTGGATTCATGGGAGCACACAATATAGGATTTATGGACTTGCAGGTTAAGCTAGGCCGACTTATGGGCAAATTCTTAGATATTAAGGTACCCGGTTTTTTTTAATGACTAGTCACAAAATTACGTTATATAGCTTACTTTGCATTAGGTGATGGGCTTCCACACGTTTTTGCGCAAATACGTGATTATTACTCGGTATATTTGGCACGTGGACATTTAACGCTGACTGCTGCGAATGACAGTCGTTTATCTTATGCTGTTGGTTTGACTCGAGATGGTCATGATTTGTTATATTTGAATGGTTTATTATATGGTAAACGTCATTGCCAGGATGATGCTGCCTAGATTGACAGCCCAACTGTTGCAGCAGTTTTTTGAATGCCTCAGTGTCTCTAGGTATAGGTTTTTCCGCTTGCACTACTTGAGAGAATGGTCCTCCTATAGGATTTACAAAATCCGTCCGCATGTCCACTTTAGTCATTTGTGCTTCTAAATCCTTAACACTCGGAATACCTTAAAAATATAGCAAGTGTTGGTAAGTAAGTAATTTAATTGTTAATATGTATTGATGTTGACTTACCAAGTTTTTCTTGAGAATGCACGTCCCGCAAACCAGGAAGCTCATTATTAATTGCAGTTTCTTTATGTCGAAACCAGCGGCTAAAGCGTGATGTCCCTTTTGCCTCACCCTTTTCATTTCCATCATTATTCTATATAAGTGATAAACAACATATATACATGTTTTGATCAAAGAAATAAATGAAGAAGTATATATTTAAAACTATTCCTATTTTCACAATACGGTTACGCACAGGTTGTAAGTTCGCAAAAACTGTAAGTGAGTCCCTAACAATTTTAAACACCAAATTCTTGACCGGCAACTTTGGACAAGACTATTTAGTTTTATCTTTTTAAAAAGGACAATTATTCTATAATTAAAGTTAGTTGGTGCAGCGTATTTACCATAAGGGAATTATCCAAAGGATGCATGTTAAGAAAGGCATCAAAATTGAATTCACTTTCAGAACTTTGGCTGCATTGGAACTGACTTGGTTCGTTTTGATTCTGTTTGCTGAGTTCTGATGAGTTTTGTATAAATGTCAGTATATTTTCACCAGTGTCTATTTTATCGTCACTTTGATTTGCGTCGCTCAAATTTAAACTAACATTGCTACTTCTTCTCGAAGCTTTATCAATCGTTGTTTGCGCAGCTAAATTTTTATCAAGTTGTGAAAAATTATCATTATGACCATCCATTTCGGAACGCTCTTCATTGTTGTCCAGGTCGTCAAAGCCGTGTAGGTCAATAGTTTCAAGCTGTGATGTTGGTCCTGCACTAAACCATTCTGGTTCTTCGTGAATGTGATAGGAGTTTGCGCGCTTCCCACGACTTTGATTACTACAAGTCTCCTTGTTAGATATGCGTCGATTACTTACGCCCTGTCGGTCTGACCTCTTAGTGTCATATTGAAAACGACGATCTGTGTGTTCGGTAACACGATCGACCAACCTTCCACTGAATGCGCGCTGGTGGTGTTGGCTTTGATTGTGTTGATTAGCAACGCTTACACCTCCACTTCCATTTAGAGACGCATCCTTTTCAGTCTCAGTGTTCGACTCCTTGGTCTTTTGGCTTTTGTATTCCCAATTATCACTTCTGGGCAATAGGCGACCACTACCAATCCGCCTTTCCTGGCGGGACGTCGAAAATGTTGGCGAAGATGACATGCATTGGTCGTGTTCCTGATGAACATAATTCAAGCGTGTTTCTGCACTATCAAGCTCGCTGCCTTTTCGATTAGGTGAACTGGGTGCTTTCCCCTTGATTTCCCTTCTTTGAGGTGCACTTGATCCATCATCACAGGTGTTGACTGTCGTCTCGTTGGTTTCCGCGCTGGTGCCCCCGCTCGATGCGGCAAAACGCCTCTTCGCAAATGCAGGCATTAGGTGAGAAGATGATATGCTGCGATGATCGATGACGGGCGACTTAAAGGACTGCCCAATCGTCGTCGTGTCCTTATCCTTATCTTTATCTTCCCCGCACATTTGGAGGGATTCTGTAGGTACAAAACGCTGATAGTAGTTATTCGCCCGCTCTCTATTTCTCATGGCGCGACGCGAGCTTATTGAAGCGGTGTTGGAGCAATTCAGACTCGAGTTATCCGTCTCCGGAGATAGCCGGTTCTTATTTTGACTTAAGTAGTTGTTGGCTACGCTAAGTGAAACTGCGTTCAAGTTTACCTTCCAAAAACCCAATGTCTGTAACTCAGTTCGATTTGTACAGTGCGGGCGCTGTCGACTTTTACCTTCGTATCGTAGAGCTAAAAGATCTGCTCTAGTGTACCTAAGGTGAAAAAACAAATTTAAAGAATATTTAGTAAATAGTCTGGCGTCTTGGCAATTATTATTATAAACTAATGCTCACAAGTGGACTTGCAAGTGATAGAAACATAACAAAAAAATGAATTGATCTTTTAGTATATTTAACGTATTAAACATACATACCTGGCATTTGATTTTGTTGTATCCATTTCTAAAAGATATTGTTTACTTTGATCGAGGCAATCAAACTTTTCTGATACTTTTCCTAATTTGTCAGATTTCCAAATAAACGGTCCTAAGATATTTCAAAAAAAACCACTCGCTCTTTTGAAAGAGAAAACTTGACTTTTATGAATATACAAATTGTATGCACCACTTATGCAAACACACACACACACATTCACAAGCGTATATACATATATACGAATGTATACGTATACATATAAATATCCTACGTATTTTAAGAATAGCTGATAATTATTTATTCCAATATAGTTGTGCAAATAAACATATATTGCAATATTCTTTTAATTTTATATTTTGTGAAAATCACGTCAAATTAGGAGTGGGATATTAATGTCAGTGAGAATAATCGGTTCTCATCGAATCCAATAGTGTAACAAAAAAACCATCGGTCCTGAAACCTTGAAAGTGGAACAAATAGTTTATTTGATAATTCGACATTCCGACCACACGCACCTTCTCACACTATAAAACGGCGATTAATATAAGTCTTGTTCGCACTGTCCTTGCTTAGGCGGCATTTTCAAGGCTTATAAAAAATGTTCGGGTTCCCAGCAGAAACAAACGATTGGTATGGACCTATTTAAAAGTATTTTTGAATGCATTGAACATTGAAATCGGCAAATTACCTTATTTATTTATTTTAATAGTAAATAAATCACGGCTTGCTATAAAAAAAATCAGTCAAAGTCATACATAGTATCTTTTTGATACAAGACACCTATTCATGTGTTAATAAACAATGTCGTGGACAACACCATTACCATTTACGCTTACGTTAACTATTTAATAATAACATTTGTGCACCAACAAATTTCAAAAATGCCCTGTAAATTTTTTATTTAAAGGGATCATATCAGCGGATTTTAGTAAAATAGTAATTGTCTGGATGGGTATTCATATTTGTATAACATTGAAGAGGGTAAAATAATTTCAGTCAGAAGTTTTCAAGGCAATGAAGTAAACATTTTGGCCCCCATTTACTATTGGGGTCGCAGTTTAAAGCTTAAACTTTTCCAGAAGTCTGTTTCCAATTGCAAAGAGTATACATGTAGGAACGAACCGTGTCGGATAATTATGTCCTATAAATACAAAGTTAGAAATATATTTTTATTAATATTGATATAATTCTTCTCTTCTCTAAGTTATTGCATTATTTGATATTTTAAATTTAAATTTAATCGGATTACTATAATATATACCTTGCATAGGAGAAAAATTCAACATAAAAAACTGTCTCCACCTAGCATAGAAAAGTCCCTAGAATCGTATTCCCAAAATTGTAGTTCTTTATCTCTCTCTCTGCCTCTTCTCGAGATCACACTGTTCACACGGGCAGACAGACATTGATTGGTCCACTCGTCTAGGAATCTTTACCAAGAAAATATACTTTATAGGGTCGGAAACATTTTCTATATTCATTTTTTAATAAAACGAATAAAATATACCATTCTACTCCACGAGTAACGAATGTAAAAACAAATAAATATATATACAATACCTATTTGATGGGAACATTACCTTACCTTTTACCTTATAAGGAAAAACCACGGCAGGGCTTTGTGCAGTATAAGAAATATATATTTGCTTATACCTTGCTCTGCTGCAGCGACCAAATTCCGCTTCAGTTTCTGTGATTTTTGTATTCACTATTTTTTTACAAGTTAGGTGATTTCTACATTTGGCGTTTCATTATTATAAAAAAATTGTTGTTTGTGCAGGCCGACGGAGTATCACACAGCTAGGAACTCAACAAATTAGATCATCATAATAAAGATGTACATATTGGTTAGCTTTCATCTCCAGATTGTGTCGTCTTGGTAAAACTGACGACTGTTGCACCAAAAAATTTTACATTATTTATCTAAAGAAGAAGCCAATTGATTTAAAAAAAAAAGAATTGAATGCGGGGAAGGTGTTATAAACGCTTTAAAGGATTCAAACGGCTCTTATTTTAGGAATTGCTCGAGGCGTCACTGTCCGCCTACAGTAGTTCCTATTAAATTTTCATTTCACTGTAAGACCTTATACTCTGGGGGACAAGCTGAATAAAATAAAAATTATTTTAATCAAGTAAGGTCACCCATAGCTTTACCTGTGGAAATTAAAAGGGACAGGATATGGAGCGTTTTTCATATAAAATTAATGTAAGACTTCCCACAACTGACCATTAAAGTAAAAAACGTAGTCCAGCTAGTTTTAAGGTATTATACCCCCGTCTCAAATGCGAAACTCCGATTCCCACAGAGCACATCCTCCATCTGCGATAAGATAACAGCTTTTCTGAGGACCTTTGGCTAATCAAGCCAAACCTGTTGCTTCTGCGCCGCCCATTTTTAAATGTCAAACTCCGATTCCCACAGAACACATCCACCATCTAACATCCGATATCAGCTGATCTGACTAATCGAACCAAGCCTATCACCATTACGTTTTCGTAGTGAATGTTTTGATTTCCAATATCAAACATCGCCTTACTATCGCATAAAAGAGTCCGTCAAATTTGGATGGTGAACTAACTGAGAAATTTTCGGAACTGCAAAACCTTATGGACCATCCGTTCAACAGATGGAAGATAGTGGATGGATCTCTGTGGGAAGACGCTATAACCTTGTGTTTTAACATCATATAAGAAATCGATTCCAAATTTAATCGCATCTGAGCATTGACAACGGATTACCGTATATCTTGTTATCAGTATTATTGTTCTCATTAGTTATCCGCCTGGGTTAAACATATTCACACATTTACTTTGTTCCATTAAACGCCTTTTTAAATTTTCCGTTAAATATATGCATAAAAAAGGATCCAATAACAGTGCTGTAAAACAATAACATGCTAATGGTAAATGTGGCATTTTGTTAGTATGCGGTCTATCTACTTTTTTTTTACTTTTACTTGTTTTTTTTTTCTTTTTTTTTGGACACTTTACACTTTTAAGCCTAGTTCTCACATCGACGAATCCCGCGAGCTAACCATAGGAGTGAGCGAGAGGCTTTTCGTCGGGTCTGTTTTTCAGCGCGGTACTTAGATGAGCTAAGGAAGTATCAGAAAAAATACCAGATTTAGCGAGTGAATTTCGAAGAACGCCGTTAGTCGCGGCCCAAAGAATAAGAAATGTAATCTTTGGCGGTGTTCGTGCAAAGGCGATGTAGAAACTAACAGTTAAAAATGGATGGAAAACCTTAAAATCGTCGATCTGAGTACTAGGCTTTGGAAATAATGTAGAAACCTTCTTTTACCGCAGATGGTTTCGGAAGTTGTCAAAAAATGAAATCGGACACAGAGGGCGCGAGCGCTCGGAGCGCGCCCATAGCACTTTAAACGACCGCCATGATTGCGGCCGATTTGCTTACATTTTTTTTTTAAATGTTCACAAAAGTCATGTTTTTTTAATCTAGCCGGCGCTTTTTGTTTATTTATGTATATTTCTTATGATAGTGGTAGACATAAGTACTTTAATACAAATTTTGTTTGTGTGTTTCAGACAATGCCAACTGGAGAAATCGTGGCGCCCAGATTTTGCAAAGTCATTTTGAATCAACCATATCTTCGCCGGAAATCAACCTGCATTAAGCCTAGTACTCAGATCGGCTAAGAGTTTCACTAGTCGAAAAATCGTATTCTTTGTAGTGTAACCGAAGTTTTCAAAGTTCACCCGCAATGCATGTAGCATGGTCTTACTGTCAAGCAGTTGGGTTTGAAATTGAAATTTAAAAAGAAGAGCCTGCTGGCTCAAATAAAAATAAATGGAAGTTTAAATCTTCCTTCTCGTCCCACGGATGCTTCGCCATCTTTCCCGCTCCACCGCAGTCCAGCTCCGAGTCTTAATAGGCATATTGGACCTTGAGGAAGTGGGAGCCGGATTGGGAACGGGGTTAATCCGCTGATGCTGCAGGAAGTCGCCCAGCATCCTGGCAGTGGCTGGCTATGGCTTCTCCAACTGTTCCTTAGCGGGCGCCCTATTTTCCTCCTCCCTATAGAACCCGGCGGATCCTCCAACCCCGCTTAAGCTGCCAAGTAACTGGTGGTGGTGGTGTCCGGAGTCGTAATGGAGAAGTCGTCGGAGATCGTATTATTGGTAGTTCTGCTAAAAAGATTTTAATTAGTACAACGCAACCAAATACGTTTGGTCAGATCTTACTTTCTTTGCGAGGACGCGCCCGGCAGGATGTCCTTGTAGAGATCGAAGTCCCACTCGGCATGTTCCTTCCCACTGGGATTTTCTAGTGAATCTCCTCCAGCACTTCAACTATTCTGCGAACTTGCCCTTTTGTGGAATTGCTTCCTGTCGGTGAAATCCCACAAAAAAGGGCATAAGCTTGGATTTGGCATTCTATTTCATCTGCACTGACCTCCTGCATCCAATTTTGGAGTTTTCCTTCCATTTTTAATTTTTAGTTTCCACACTGCCTTTGCACGAACACCGCCAAAGATTAAATTTCTTATTCTTTGGGCCGCGGCTAACGGCGTTCATCGAAAATTGACTCCAGAAATCTGGTATTTTTTCTGGTATTTCCTTAGCTTATCTGAGTACCGCGCTGAAAAACAGACCCGACGAAAAGCGTTAACCGCGTATTTGCCTCTCGCTCACTCCAATGGTTAGCTCGCGGTTTTCGTCGATCTGAGTACTAGGCTTTAAAAAGAAAAATATTTTTTTCAACGTTTTTTCAAGTATAACAAGCCTGTAAAAAATCTTGAACGCGAAATAAAAACTTTTCTGGAAAAAAATTATAATTAAGTTATAATAATTTGCAAAAGGCGAAAACTACCTGACTACTCCCTTAACGGATGTGACTATTTTCATGTGCCAGAGCGTAATACCAAGATGTTAAGGCCATGATGTCACAATGGACAAAGCGAAGTAGGAATTGGAGGACTTGGTGGTGGAGGCTGAAAATAAAACAAGGAAGAACGCTATAGTCGAGTACCTCGACTATCAGATACCCCTTACTCAGCTAAATTGACCAAAGGGAAATGGAGATATTCAAGCAGCAAAGCGAGATTGAAATGCGCCACCTACCCGTGATCGCAATAGACGAATTTAAGCGTTATGGGCGATGGATCAATCGATAGGTATTGACGAGACTAGTACACTTCAGTTAAAATTATTCATTTAGCATTAAAATTGTAGGCGCCACAGGCTTGGGCGGTTAGTGGCGAGGCATACTGGCGTAACAAACTTGTGCTGCGTACAAGGCTACGGAATCAGATCTGAGATCCCATTTCTCTATCTTTGATAGTTTCTGAGATATCCGCGTTCAAACTTACGATTTTTTGAAGTTTGTGGGCGTTAAAGTGGGCGTTGCAAACTTTTTTTTTGGGTCAATCGATATGTATTGATGAGAACAATACATTTCAGTTAAAATTGTTATTCTAGCATCAAAACTGTAGAAGCCACAGTTTTGGGCGTGGCACGCTGCTGAAACAAACTTGCGCTGCGCAGGAATCTCAGGAATCTGCATGCCTAATCCCAGTGTTGTAGCTCTTATAGTTTTCGAGATCTCAGCGTTCATACGGACAGACGGACATGGCTAGATCGACTCGGCTAGTGATCCTGATCAAGAATAAATATACTTTATGGGTGGTGACAAATTCGATACTCTCCGCTAACAGAATAATTGTCAATTAAATTAAATTAATCAACGGACGCAGAAAAAAAATAAATTTATGTATAATGTGAAAAAGAATTCGAAACCATGGTGTGCTAGAACTCTAACAAAGGGGGTGTGCTGACGCGAGGAGTGGTGTAGGTCATGAACAATGACATAACTTTCGACGGACAACCTTGACAATAGGGGATCGTATTGCGCGGCCCGCGACGATCCATTGGCACACGAATGTGTGAAGGGGAGAGAATATGGCCAAAACACAGCCCGATCGTATTGCGATCAAGCGACAGCTAAGCTTGTGGGGCAGTGTGGACTGACGACTGACGAACTTTATGACTAAGATTATTTTCCAGGCACTTTAAATATTTATTCGCGTTATGTTGGAGAGAAGAGAGGCTTACCAAGATCCCACGACCCGAATACGACGTAGCTTATGCCGGAAAATATTGCCTGAACATCGGACGCCTCTCCCTCGGCCCAAGTCCCTGTCAGGACTCGGGCACTAAAATGCCCACGTAACATATGCTGACAATTTAGGTATACCTCTATAATTGTTTGCTTCCACTTTACTACCCTTCTTGTGGAAAGGAATTGCAATCAATTCCTTCCACATATGGGGAAATTGTAAAGATTCTAAAGATAGGGTAAACAAGTTGAGAAGGGGATTGCGTAAGGCCTCCGTGCAATATCTAAGCACGCAGCCAGGAATTCTATAGGGACCAGGTGAATATACGGGCTTAACACGTTGAAATTTACCAAGTAGAGAGCTTTCGTTTAAGGTGGGACAGAAGTTTAAATTCGACTTGGATACAGTGTAAGAATAAGAATGTGAAGAACGAGGTAAAGCAGAATATGTCGTTTACTTTAAAAAATCGTAAGTATGAACGCGGATTTCTCGGAAACTATCAAAGATAGAGAATTAGGAATTCACATTAAGATTCCGTAGCCTTGCATGCAGCGCAAGTTTGTTACGAGAATATGCCACGCCCACTCACACCACGCCCACTAGATACAAAATTTTAACTGAAATGTATTAGTCTCGTCAATACCTATCGATTGATCCAAAAACTTTGCCACGCCCACTCTAACGCCCATAACGCTTATATCAGTCTACCGCCCACATAACCATATATAGAGATCGCGGGTAGGTGGCGCATTTTAATCTCGCTTTGCTGCTTGCATATCTCCATTTCCCTTTGGTCCCTTTAGCTGTGTAACGGGTATCTGATAGTCGAGGTACTCGACTTTAGCGTTCTTCCTTGTTATACCCGTTACTCGTAGAGTAAAAGGGTATACTAGATTCGTCGGAAAGTATGTAACATGCAGAAGGAAGCGTTTCCGACCCCATAAAGTATATATATTCTTGATCAGGATCACTAGCCGAGTCGACCTAGCCATGTCCGTCTGTCCGTATGAACGCTGAGATCTCGGAAACTGTACAAGCTACAATACTGGGATTAGGCATGCAGATTTCTGAGATTCGTGCGCAGCGCAAGTTTGTTTCACCAGAGTGCCACGCCCACTCTAACGCCCACAATCCGCCCAAAACTGTGGCTCCTACAGTTTTGATGCTAGAATACAAAATTTAACGGAAATGTATTGTTCTCATCAATACCTATCGATTGACCAAAAAAAAAGATTTGCCACGCCCACTCTAACGCCCATAACGCTTAAATCTGTCTACCTCCGGTAGGTGGCGTATTTTAATCTCGCTTTGCTGCTTGCATATCTCCATTTCCCTTTGATCCCTTTAGCTGAGTAACGGGTATCTGATAGTCGAGGCACTCGACTATAGCGTTCTTCCTTGTTATACCAGTTACTCGTAGAGTAAAAGGGTATACTAGATTCGTCGGAAAGTATGTAATAGGCAGAAGGAAGCGTTTCCGACCCCATAAAGGATATAAATTCTTGATCAGGATCACTAGCCGAGTCGATCTAGCCATGTCCGTCTGTCCAGTTGAACGCAGAGATCTCGGAAACTATAGGAGCTAGGCTATTGAGATTTGGCGTGGAGATTCCTGAACTTCTTACGCAGCGCAAGTTTGTTTCAGCAGAGTGCCACGCCCACTCTTACGCCCACAAACAGCCCTAAACTGTGGCTCCTACAGTTTTGATGCTAGAAAAAAAATTTTAACGGAAATGTGTTGCTCTCATCAATACCTATCGATCGACCTAAAAAAAGTTTGCCACGCCCACTTTAACGCCCTCAACGCTCGACTATAGCGTTCTTCCTTGTTTTATTTTATTTTTTCCTAGTCTCAATCATACTCTAACGCCACCAGTTCGCCAAATGTTTTGCGTCCGCATACCTCCAAATTTTTAAACGTTTTCATTTATTTTTCCCTACCAGCGGTTGAACCAGAGGCGGGCACACATTTCGATGACATGTTGTATTTCACGTGTGTTATTAACTTGCACGGGCAGTTTATTATGGGGGTACCGGCAGAGAGTGAGCATAGAAAGTTGACTACCGCGAAATTAAACTTATCTTACTGGTATTGTAAAGCAATTTTTTTATTGTTTATTTTAATTATTCTCAAATTATAAAAATTAATTTTTCAGGCACCGATAAAAATAATTTAGAAAACATAAATTCTTTGCAGTACTCTATAAAAATTTTTTTTGTCAATCCAATTCTTATCGTGAGCATTCGCGTGAAAACTTAAATAATGCATTCAAAAAGTTGCTAGAAATTGTTATAATAATTCATGGTTTTATATAAAGTTACTTAAAATCTAGACATTTGTCATTTGCGGAAGTTTCATAACAACATAAAGGTCCAATGCTACCGACTGGATAATTCCATTTGTTGGACTCTGTCAGAGTGTTAGGGCTGAAGGTCGGTTGCCGAGATGGTTGTGGACGAAAAGCATGCAAGTGTGACTTTAAAAATACTGGGAAGGCAACACGCTGCTGTATTTGCAAGTTTGAAGATACTTCTTTAGCAGCTAAAGACTTGGAAAGCGATTTATCGCCAACCAGTTTTGAGGCTGTCTTTTTGGAAAGACTTCGATCCTGCTGCATTTTATCATTTTTGCGACGAGTTATAATTTTTAAATGAGCATTAAATCCTTTCGCGTCCTGAAACGAATCATATTTAAAAAATATAAGTACATTGCAATACATTTCAATAATTTAATTTAATGTGTGGTTCCTTAAAATGCGAAAAACTCTTGATTAAGATGGTCACGAAGCTTTCCTTAAGGCTTTTTGTTAACTCTCCGTACTGTGAATTTTTTATTATCGGAAACTGAGCCAAAAAAAACAGTTTTAAGCAGGAAAGAACGCTATAATCGAGTGTCCCGACTATTAAAATATGATCTTTACAATTTATTTAGTTAATTTACAAATTTACATTTTACAATACATCTTTAACTGGCAGTAACGTTATTAGCGATGTTCATGCTAGTTACGGGCGTTAAATCATTACTTATGAACTAATGGTCCGATTTCAACAGTTCTCGGCGCGCTTATTGAGGTGGAAAAATAAAATAAATAAAATGTAATCTTGGAAACGGTAGGAGCCGCATGTTTGTGGTGGTCAAGCTTGCGCTGCGCAAGAATCTCTTCAATCTGCATGCCTTATTCCAAAATTCTGGCTTTTATAGTTTCCAAGATCACTGAGTTTGTACAGACTGACGGACATGGCCAGTTGGACTCGTCTAGTGATCCTGATCAAAAATCGTTACTCAGCTTAAGGGACCAAAGGGAAATGGAGATATGCAAGCAGCAAAACGAGCAAGCAGCGCCACCTACCAGTGATCTCAATATATGGTTATGTGGGCGGTAGGCAGATTTAACCGTTATGCGCGTTAGAGTGGGTGTGGCAAATTTTTTTTTGGATCAATCGATAGGTATTGACGAGACTAATACATTTCAGTTAAAATTTTTTATCTAGCATGAAAATTGTGGGCGCAATTTTTTTTGGATGAATCGATAGGTATTGACGAGACTAATACATTTCAGTTAAAATTTTTTATCTAGCATGAAAATTGTGGGCGCCACAGGTTTGGGCGGTTTATGGGCGTTCGGGTGGGCGTGGCATATTCGCGTAACAAACTTGCGCTGCGTACAAGGCTACGGAATCTAAATCTGAGATCCCATTTCTCTATCTTTGATAGTTTCTGAGATATCCGTGTTCATGTGTACGATTTTGTTTAAGCTTGTGGCCGTTAGAGTGGGCGTGGCACATTGCTGAAACAGGAATCTGCATGCCTAATCCCAGTATTGTAGCTCGTATAGTTTCCGAGATCTCAGCGTTCATACAGACAACCGTACGGACAGACATAGATAGATCGACTCGTCTAGTGATCCTAATCAAGAATATATATACTTTATGGGGTAGGAAACGCTTCCGTTACATACTTTCCGACAAATCAAGTATACCCTTTTACTCTACGAGTAACGGGTATAATAATCATTTGGATCATTCAGATTCTTCTTGTGCTTATAAGGCCCCGCCAAGTCCCATGTCCACTGAGTACATTTTGTTTTATTTTATTTGCCAATATCTATCGACTTGCCAAAAAGTGGCGACCCTCGAGTTCAAATCCCCGTTCCGGAAGTTTTCAACTTTTATAAATTAAGTATCTATGCCCAATCTAAAGCCCACAATCCGCCCACAGTTTTCATGCTAGCATACAAATTTGAACAGAAATGTATTGGTTTCGTAAATACCTATCGATTGATGTATGTACAAGAAAAATTTGCCCTCTCTAACGCTCACAAACGCCCATAAACTGTTCAAAAGACATGTAAAAGAAAACAGCTACACAAAGTTTTTTTTATACTGGGAACAGTAGGCCATTTAAAATTAAAATCACAAATAGCTTTTATTTATGGTCCCTAATTTAAAGAAAACTGCTCAAAAAAGTTTTCAAGTTTTTGCCGTAAAACTCAATTTGTCTGTCCACATTTTTAATAATTTGTAAAAATGTAAGTGGGATTTTGTTTTGATTATGAATACGACTCTACATGCCAAAAACTGTTCAAGTCTAACTATACTTATAAGTTTTTAATGTATAAGCTATAAGCAAATTAAGAAGTCGACGCTAGGAGAAAAATTTTTCCCTTTGACGTTGTACTGAACGCATAAATAATGGATAACGAGAAGAGATTATGGCGTTCTATCTTGTTTGTGAAGAATTCTCCTGTTTGACGTGGGTCTGAACGCATAAAAAGGGATAACGATAAGAGGATTATATATATAGGATTATTTTATATGATTTCAATTTTTATACCCGTTACTCGTAGAGTAAAGGATATATTAGATTCGTCGGAAAGTATGTAACAGGCAGAAGGAAGCGACCCCATACAGTATATATATTCTTGATCAGGGTTACTAGCCAAGTCGATCAAGCCATGTCCGTCTGTTCGGATAAACGCTGAGATCTCGGAAACTATAACAGCTAGGCTATTGAGTTTTGGCGTGCAGATTCCTGAGCTTCTTACGCAGAGAAAAGTTTGCCACGCCCACTTAAACGACCACAAACCGCCCAAACCTGTGACGTTCACAGCAACAATTTGCCACGCCCACTCTAACGCCCATAACGCTTAAATCTGTCTATCGCGGGAGGTAACGCATATGATAGGGTATCTGATAGTCGAGGTACTCGACTATAGCGTTCTTCCTTGTTTTTTAAACATATAATTTTTTTCTGAAGTTTGGAGAGATCTATTAAAGTATGGAGATTTTTTAAATTTACCCAGATAAAAAAAAATATTTCAGTTATTTTTTGTTAGTTACATAAGTAGCTTTCTTACCTCCGAAATTGTTACTTCATTATCGCCTAACATGGTTTTTGAATTCGGAGATGAACCAGACATTCGTATTTTTTCAGTTTGAAAAACTGATAGAGTGTGACTTGTATTTTCGATTGAGCATCTACTGGCATTGAACTCTAGTTGATCTTCAGCGTCTGTTGAAATGACATCTACATCGACGTCTGCTTCTACATCAATATTTGTACTTGTTGACGGAGAAATGCTGGTACTTTCGCTTTCAAACACAATGTCGGGTGGCGTACGAGGGGAGTCAACGTGTTGAACTATGAATTTACCTTCATCTTCCGTTGTCTCGATATCCACAACTTCGTCATCATCGTCGTTATCAATAACACTCCTGGGTACACTGTTGACTAAAACAGATTCAGTTGGCTTTTCTAAAAAATTGTTTATTTTAAAATAAAATTGGCAGGAAGAAAGTATTTGACTTACTTTCCATATTAGATGCAACTTTCTCTAAAATTGGCGAAAAGGTCTCATGACCTACTATCTGGTGCGACGAACCTGAAATACTGTTATGGGTTAAAACTGTTGTAGTTCTTGTAGATTGTGTTGGGTGAATATAATCAGCTCGTTTTGAGTCACTGGATCTCGTATATAGGGAGGTTGACACAATTGCTGTCGAAGCGACGACTGGTTTAAATGCAGAGCAGTTAAGAATCGAAGGAATGTTATAATCGGAGAGGCTTAGCCCACTGTTCGTAGCTGCAGATAGCTTACGGTTTTTGATAATGCCACATATAGATGAGTGCGACTCGTTTTTTATATTAAAAGAAGTATTATCCGAAAGTCGAACTGAATTTCCAGTCGGTATTGGAACATTCGTGTCTGGTCTAACCCATGCTCGGGAGCAGGACTCGAAGTCCAGGCTTTGTTCGCTTGGTTCACCGCCACTGAGTTTCTTTGAATACTGATGCTGGTAGTGTTGATCCTTCTGCTGCCACATGTAGTCCACTACAAAGTTTCTGGAAATTGGCATTAGGGAAAGGTCCCGTTCGTTCCGAAGCGAGTGCAAAGGTGACAGGACGGTAGAGCCATGCAAGTTGAAAGGAACACCGACAGTTGCGGCTGCTACCGCCGTCACGCCAACCACAGCGGCGGCTGTGGCTACAGTACTATAGTTGTACTGGCTATCAAGCTGCCGTTGAGGGTACTCCGGGGACTCCGAGTCCCCCTCGCCTTCCTTGGCGTCTCTCTCTAGACTCGTTGGGGATCCACAGGAACTGACGGCCGCCGATGGCGTTGGCGAGCCTATGTTTCGATTATTAATGCTGCTGCTTACTAGCCGCTTCCGTGTGCCGCCATTGAACATGGCCTTGACATCTTCCCACGCGTGGATTATTTTCTCGTCGTATGCATTCCCGCTCAGAGTCATGTGCCGACGCCAGGAATTGAAGTTTGCCGCATCGGGCTGAACATACCTGTCATTGGTCGTTATGCGGTGTGAGTGAAAAATGAACTTATTTGGCGAAAAAAACATCCCACAATATGAGCACTTGATGCATTTGGCCCTGGACGAGTTGTAGCGAGAAGGTAAAAAGGATCCGCGGCAGCCCCAAGCACATTTGTGCTGGACGTTGAAGGCGAAGTCGTCAGGTAGTCGCGGAGGTGTGTTGTCGCCCAGAAAACTCTTGCAGAGTCGCTCCGCTTCCCTTCGGGTTATCATTCCGCATCGGCGTGAACTCACTGGCATGGCGCCAGCTCTTCTTAATATTTCCAGCTGGACGGGAGTACATTGTACACAAGTAATGCCAAGCGCAACCCTTCTGTTGTGTATCTCGTTGTAACTGAACTGCTTTAGTAAAGTATTTGAGATTTGCGCCAAGCAGAGGCGCTCCTGGCCTTCGATGAACAGTGATACAATCGGCACTCCGTACAGCAAAACGGAGCTCACCTAAAAATAAAACTTGCATTAATACGAACTGAACAAGCTAAAACAAGAATTATTGATTCTTAAAAGGACAATACGTTTTAAACAATATCTCAGGGTGTTATAAAAACTTTGTATCCATTTACATTTTTATAATAATTATTAAAACTGAAATGCTGAAATTGCGACAAACATTTTCCCTAAATGCAAATAAATGTTTTTACTGCCATAAAAATCACAAAAATTGAAAAACGAAGAAGACTATATAGTCGACGTCCTCGACTATCAGATACCCGTTACTCCGCTAAAAAAAAAAAGCGCCCCCTATCGTTTATTCTTATAGGCTGTTTACGAGATTCGTATTACCACATAACGTGAAACCTGTCGAATCGACTAGTTATCCTAATCAAGAATATATATGGTCAGAAACGCTTCCTTCTACCTGTTACATACTATCCGACGAATTTAGTATACCATTTTACCCTACAAGTACCGAGTATAATAACTCATAGTTAAGATATAGCTTTCCTTCTTTTTATACCCGATACTCGTAAAGTAAAGTAGATTTTGTATCCGTCTGAAAGTATGTGCCGGCGCCCACAATTGAATTGTGAGTTTCACATTTCAGTGTGAATTGAAATATATGTTATTGACCGATGCTTATCTACACGAATCGCACCTATCGCTTTATTATTCTCCGTAGCACTTTTGGTATTATTTTTGTTATTTTAAAATACCTCAAAACGTAACTACGTGGACCGATAGTTCAATAATCAAAATTTAATATAAAAAGTAAAATTTTGCTCATTCATTAAGCCTAGTACTCAGATCGACGAAAACCGCGAGCTAACCATAGGAGTGAGCGAGAGGCATATACGCGGCTAACGCTTTTCGTCGGGTCTGTTTTTCAGCGCGGTACTCAGATATACTAAGAAAATACCAGAAAAAAGACCAGCTTTCGCGAGTGAATTTTCGATGAACGCCGTTAGCCCCGGCCAAAAGAATAAGAAATTTAATCTTTGGCGGTGTTTATGCAAAGGTGATGTGGAAACTAAAAATTAAAAATGAAGGGAAAACCCCAAAACAGGATGCAGGACGTCAGTGCAGATTAAATAGGACACCAAATCCAAGCTAATGCCCTTTATTGTGGGATTTCACCGACAGGAAGCAATTCCACAAAAGGAGCAAATTCGAAGAATAGTTGAAGTGCTGGAGGAGATCCACTAGAGAATCCCATCGGGAAGAAAAATGCCGAGTGGGACTTCGATCTCTACATGGACATCGTGCCGGGCGCAAAGAAAGTAAGATCTGGCCAAAAGAATTTGGTTGCGTTGTACTAGTAGAAGTATCTTTTTAGCAGAACCACCAGTAATACGATCTCCGACGACCTCTCCATTAGGACTCCGGACACCACCACCATTAGCTATTTGGCAGCTTAAGCGGAGTTGGAGGACCAGCTGGCTTCTATAGGGAGGAAGAAAACAGGGCGCCCGCAAAGGAACAGTTGGCCAGCTATTGCCAGGATGCTGGGCGACTTCCTGCACCATCAGCGGATCAACCCCGTTCTCCCACTTCCTCAAGGTCCAATATGCCTATTGGGACTCGGAGCTGTACTGCGGTGGAGCGGGAAAGATGGCGAAGCATCCGTGGGACGAGAAGAAAGCTTTAAACTACTAATTTACATAAATGAAAACATTGGTTGTACATTCCATTTATTTTTATTTAAATTTCTTTGTGTACCAGCTGACTCCTCCTTTTTAAATTTCTCCAATTGATTTGTTTTCCGTTTGGCTACATACCCAGCTGCTTGACAGTAAGACCATGCTACATGCATTGCGGGTGAACTTTGAAAACTTCGGTCACACTACAAAGAATAAGATTTTTCGACTAGTGAAACTCTTAGCCGATCTGATAATTTAATTTTGATAAAATTAAATTCGAAATTCAGTACTAATTAAAAAAGGTTATTTCCAGAATATATATACTTTATGGGGTCGGAAACGTCTCCTTCACTGCGTTGCAAACTTCTAACTGAAATCATAATACCCTCTGCAAGGGTACTAAAAGCATTTTTAAAAGAGATTTGAATTGCATAGTGAAGTTTTTCAGGAAAAAATTAGTTACTGATGGATCAGTAATCAGTTATCATGTTGTTCTATATACCTGTTAAGAAGTTAACGTTATTATACCCGTTACTCGTAGAATAAGAGTGAACGGAAAGTATGTAACAGGCAGATGGAAGCGTTCCGACCCCGTAAAGTACGGACCCCGTCTGTCCGTATGAACGCTGAGATCTCGGAAACTATAAGAGCTACAATACATGCAGATTCCTGAGCTTCTTGCGCAGCGCCAGTTTTGTTTTAGCAAAATGCCACGCCCACAAACCGCCCAAAACTGTGGCTCCTACGGTTTTGATGCTAGAATAAACATTTTAACTGAAATGTATTTTTCTCATCAATAGCTATCGATTGACCAAAAAAATTTGGCCCACTTTAACGCCCACAAACTTCAAAAAATCGTAAGTATAAACGCGGATATCTCGGAAACTATCAAAGATAGAGAATTGGGATTTCAGATTTAGATTCCTTAGCCTTGTACGCAGCGCAAGTTTGTTACGCGAATATGCCACGCCCACTCTAACACCCACAAACCGCCTAAGGCTGTGGCGCCCACAATTTGTTTGCTAGATACAAAATTTTAACTGAAATGTATTATCCTCGTCAATACCTATCGATTGATCCATAAAAAAGGTTACCACGCCCACTGTAACGCCCATTGCGCTTAAATTTGTCTACCGCCCTCATAACCATATAATGAGATCAGGGGTAGGTGGAGCATTTCAATCTTGCTTTGCTGCTTGCATATCTCCATTTCCTTTTGGTCCCTTAAGCTGAGTAACAGGTATCTGATAGTCGAGGTACTTGACTACAGCGTTCTTTCTTGTTTAAGTTATAAAGTTCAAATGCTAAAGTGACCATGCCTTCTTTTCTAAACAAATCACAGTAATTGCCACATATGCTTGCTTTAATGAGTGAGCCGAACAATGCCGTGGAGTGATTGCATGAGTAACGGTTACTTGATAGTGAGCCACTCGAATAAAGCGTTCTCTCTTGCTCTTTATTAAAAGGCGACAAGGTTTTTATAATTGAACATCACTTATTTTTTAACCGAAATGAACTTAAATCGTGTATCAATATTTCGTAAAAAAAAATAAATAAAAGTCCAAGCACGTACCAATGGTTTCCTCAAGGGATAGATTTGTTGTACTTCAATTTGTTTTGCACCCTAACAATTTTTCAAACTTGCTTTACCCTGCCATCACTTCCTTCTCTGACTTATTTTTACGGGAAAATTCAAACCTGAAGCCATCGTTCTTGTAAATAGTAAACAAAAGTAAAACAGAGTGATTGTCTCAAATCATGGCAAGGCTCCGCCTTACGCACAGAGTGCCATAAGTGCTGTCATTTCTATATTTTTATAAAACGGGTATCGTAGAGTAACAAGAATGTAACAGGTACCTATAAACAAGTTGTGCAAATAGGCCCATTCATTAAATAATTATGACTAAATGTTGTAATTGCTGCTTACATATCTCCATCTCCCTTCCGCTCCAGTTAGCTGATTAACGGGTATCTGATCGGTTTGATTTGGTTTATAAAGTTAGAGTCGTGGGGCTCTATATAGTGTATAGTCATATAAATATATTCAAATAAGTGTATTTGATAATATCGTTGGTTCTTATTTTACCCTTGCTATTTTGCAAAAACACACGGTGAAATTGAGCACCGGCATAACAGACTTGTGCATTAGTAATGTTTTAATACATACGTGATTTGACCTCTGAGATGATGTACTGTTTTCCATTCCTTTAAAGGGAGCCACCGACACAGAAGTAATTTGAATGCTTTCAGCTAAAGCCATTTAAAAAACATCTGAAAATATGAAATGTTTTTGTTAGGTAAGTTGTACTTATGACACTGCATTAATTGGATCATTCATTTATTTAGAGCTCAGAAAAGCCAATTTTGGTTGGGAAACCTTAGGTTAAAAAGACATGGCACCTTGATAGTTAAAAAAGGGTTATCTGGCTGACTTTAATGTTTAAAACAATCAAATTAATCTTCTAAAATGACAATAAATAAATCACTTCCAAAATGTACCGAAATGTCCAAATGACCAAAATGTTCGAATGTAGCGATCCTTATACGCTTGCAGAGGGTTTCAGTCAGAAGTTTGCAACGCAGTGAAGGAGGCGTTTCGATCTAGCCATGTCCGTCTGTCCTTTCTTCGCAAACTGGTCTCTCTGCTTTACAGCTATCGGTATTAAAATATACCAAAAGTCTTATTTCTATTGCAGGTAGTATATAAGTCTGAACGAACCGGACCGGATAACTTTATCCTATAGGTCCCAAAGGATTGATCAAAAACATTATTTTTAATATTAAAAAATATTAGTTTGGTGTTTTTTAATGCATTAACAGCCATAGGGACTGTCGGATAAATAATTTAAAAATAATTCAAAAACCGTTATATTTCGTTTTCGGTCAACATATACGGTAGTAAATTGAAATGAAACGTTGTCTTAAAATTTCTGTAATTAGTTTTTATTTCTCTAAAAATCGGATAGCTCTATTCATACAATGGTCCCACGGGAACGACCTGCAAGGATATTGCTTGCTTTCTTGTTTGATTTTTTTTGCATATTCTTTGTGTTATGGCCCTGTTATATTTTTTTCGTATTACACGATTGAGCTGAAAAACATTTTTTTTACAACTTTTTAAAAAACCAGCTAGTTTAGCAGGAAAAAAAAAATAAAAATGTCTAAAAGTCACAGTTCCGATCTATGCTTAAAAAACCCGTCATATACTTTATTGGGTCTTCCTATTACGTATTTTCCTAGGAATCTAGTACACCCTTTTACTCTACGAGTAACGGGTATAAAAATATTATGTAGATAATATGTAAATGTCGATGTTCTTCGCCCTTACTTGAGCTGAGGGGCATCGCACTAGGTGTTTCTTGTTTTAAATTGTTCCACCAGTCCTCTAGTTCTGAGAGCTCTCATTATTGTCACTATTTCTAAAGCCCGGTGACATTGTTAGAGTCATAAAAAGTGGAGTTGGCCGAATATAATATTATTAACCTTTACTACAAATTTATTCCATATAAATTGCAATCAAACCTTTGCTCATTCCTAGGGCGAAAACTCCCTTATTCAATTATAGAACGCGTGTGAATAGCATAATTGAAAAGGAGCCTGCCCCTAGAGACCATTTCGTTAGAGATAATAAGGTTAGCAAAAAAGTTATAAAGTACAGATTGTTAAGCTTAATGCCTTTGTTACTACATGCCCACGCTTAAATTGCAAACGGAAAGCGAAACAAATGATTACGGTATTCCTGAACTTAAGGGGGAGCTGAGGGTTGAACGAATTACAAACCAGTGAGGTAAATAATGACAAAATTATGTTAGTATTTAGAAAAACGGCAGATTGTTAACAATCTGGCAGATGTACTCAGACATTCGGTCTGCCCGAGATTAACGAATTATGTGCAGGGTTGTTTTTGAATGCAAGCTTCAAACTTCATTTTTAAGGTGGGTATCATCCATGTACCATGTTAACACATTTATTTGCATGTGGATAAGTATATCTGAAAATAATGAATTATTATGAGATTTTGGATGGAAAAAAATTTGCCTGGCAAAGCACCCGTCAAACTGATAAAAAAGATAATATTAAACAAGGTAAAACGCTATAGTCGTTTGCCTATAGTCGCTAGGTGGCGCTATATCTATTCCTATCTTCTTCTTCTAGCCAACTAGCATATAGCGCCCCTAGCGGCTTGGTGGCGTAATAGTGAAAACAGCTGATCAGCTGTTACTCCGTTACTCGTAGAGTAAACGGGTATACTAGATTCGTCGGAAAGTATGTAACGGAAGCGTTTCCGACCCCATAAAGTATATATATTCTTGATCAGGATCACTAGTCGGGTCGATCTAGCCATGTCCGTCTGCCCGTCCGAATGAACGCTGAGATCTCGGAAACTATTAAAGCTAGGCTATTGAGATTTGGCATGCAGATTCCTGAGCTTCTTACGCAGCGTAAGTTTGTTTCAGCAGCGAGCCACGCCCACTCTAACGCCCACAACACGCCTAAAACTGTGGCTTATACAGTTTTGATGCTAGAATAAAAATTTTTACTGAAATGTGCTGTTCTCATCAATACTTATCGATTGACCCAAAAAAAGTTTGCCACGCCCACTTTAACGCCCAAAAACTTAAAAAAAATCGTAAGTATGAACGCGGATATCTCGGAAACTATCAATGATAGAGAATTGGGATTTCAGGTTTAGATTCCGTATCCTTGTACGCAGCGCAAGTTTGTTACGCGAATATGCCACGCCCACTCTAACGCCCACAAAACGACAAAAAAAAAATTTTAACTGAAATGTATTGGTCTTGTCAATACCTATCGATTGATAAAAAAAAAGTTTGCCACGCCCACTCTAACGCTCATAACGCTTAAATCTGTCTACCGCCGAAATAACCATATAATGAGTTCAGGGGTAGGTGGCGCATTTCAGTCTCGCTTTGCTGTTTGCATATCTCAATTTCCCTTTTGTCCCTTTAGCTGAGTAACAGGAATCTGATAGTCAAGGTACTCGACTATAGCGTTCTTCCGTGTTATCTTTGAAAAAGTGATCAATTTGGTTTGTGGGCATTAGAGTGGGCGTGTGAACATTTTTAAAGTCAAACTATAGGTATTGAGGAAAACAATACATTTCAGTTAAAATTTTTTTCTATTAATTAAACTGTAGAAGCCAGTTTTCGGGGGTTCGTGGGCGTCGGAGTGGGCGTGGCATGTTTGGCAAACTTGCGCTACATACAAAAATATGGAATCTAAGTAAATCTAAAGCGTTCACGCGGAAGGACAGACAACGGACATGGCCAGATCGACTTGGCTAGTGATACTGATTAAGAATATACAGCTGTGATCATAAAAATAGTAATGAACTTGATCTCACCACGTTAGGCAGGAAAATCAATTGATAATCACAATTTATTTCTACGATGTTTTCAAAGTAACAATTTACAAACTTCATTTTATCAGTTCAGCTGATTTTGTTATTATAAATTATTATAGTTTGCACTTCAGGGCTTATAAACAAAATAATCACAACATTTGGCCGCTCCTGAAAATAGTAGTGACTACAAAAAATTAAAAAAACTTAACTAAAATCTCCAAAATATCCCCAAAAGTCATAATCTCTTATTATCTAGAATCTAATATTTAGTTGAATATCCGTTATTCTGAAACACGGAGGTGCAATGGCGTGGCATGGAATCGATAAGGTCTTGGCACCGCTTTACTGGAATGTCATGCCAATCTTGCTGAACCACCATCCACAGCTGAGTTTTGTTTATTGGTTTTACAATAGATATAGCTCTCCTAACATCCCCCACAAGTTTTCAAATAGGGTTTAAGTCCGAAAACAGAGCTGGCCATGTCATTACGTCGATCTCTTGTGCCATTCTTGAACTTCTGGCAAATAAATTATTATCTCTCAGACGTCTTTGAAGTGTTTGAAGACTAATCGCCAGATTTAATTCTTTTTTAATCTACCCTGCAGTAGCGAATGAGTGAATCGTGGCGTATCGCACAATCTGTCTGTCGTCTACCGCAGTAGTTTTTAGCTTTCCACTCCGATTTTCTGGCTTCAATTTTTAGTGAATGACGTTTAATATCATGGTAGATGAGCATCCAACGATGTATTCAATTTCCTCATACGTTTTTTCATTATTTTTTTTTAATTTAAAAATTTAATTTCTCATTTCGGGCGAACAGTGCTTCCCATGACCCACTAAAAAAATTTAATTTTAAATTTTTATCGTTAAAATATTAAACACATATTTTAACTTACTAATGGAGTTCTTAACTACTTAAGTTTTATTTTTAGAACTTCTCACATCAACCACTACTATTTTAATGAGCGGCAAATTTAGCTTGCATATTCTATTTATAATCAAAAACAAGGGAGAACGCTATAGTCGAGTACCTCCGACTATCAGATACCCGTTACTCAGCTAAAGGGAAATGGAGATATGCAAGCAGTAAAGCGAGATTGAAATGCGCCACCTACCCACAATCTCAATATATGTTTATGTGGGCGGTAGACAGATTTAGGCGTTATGGGCGTTAGAGTGGGTGTGGCAAACTTTTTTTTTGATCGGTCGATAGGTATTAACAAGACTAATACATTTCAGTTAAAATTTTTTATCTAGCATAAAAATTGTGGGCGTAGCATAGTTTCCGAAATCTCAGCGTTCATCCGGACGGACAGACAGACGGCTAGATCGACTCGGCTGGTGATCCTGTTGAAGAATATATATACTTTATGGGGTCGGAAAGGCTTTCTTCTGCCTCTTACATACTTTCCGACAAATCTAGTATACCCTTTTACTCTACGAGTAACGGGTATAACTACTCTTCCCGTAGCAAATCTAACGGAACTTTCTCTCTTTCCTCTTCTTTACGTTCCATTCTGAGCAAAAAGTGGAAACACGTTTGAAGGATAACGGTAAAATTGGCGAAAATTACCTTTCTAATGTTATTCCAAGTTGCACAACTATTTTCATGGTCGTAACTGTATGTGTATACTTTATGGGGTCGGAGACGCTTTCTTGTACCTGTTACATAATTTTCCCCAAAGCAATACCTTACTAGTAACGGGTATTAAAAAACCCTGGATCCCTCATCCTTTCCTTATGAACCAGGCGATAGTTACTCACAAAAAAATTAAGATAAATCAACTATTTAATGGTTAAAACTGCCCCAACACAAAAAAAAAACAAGGAAGAAAGCTATAGTCGAGTACCTCGACTATCAGATACCCGTTACTCAGCTAAATGGAGATATGCAAGCAGCAAAGT